CAATTTCGGCTAAAAGAATTGACAAAATCCTACACACTGTGCCTTTAATAAAAATAATAAGATAATGTGACACATTTTAAATGTTTTAATAATGTGAAAATGTGGCTTTTTATTTCATTTATATAACTAATAAAAGTATTTTTATGCATTTTTGCATTTTGTTTCTAATTTCATCAATTTAAAAACAGCTAAGCTTGGCTTCATTGTCTGGGCCACAAGTGAATGAATAAATACTGAGTTTGCGTTTCTGTTTTTTAAATGTKTATTTAAATGTAACTGGTGCAGTAAAGCTGAATGTTTCATGTTGAATTTTTGGTACTTTCATTTACTGTTTTTGTAATAAATAGCAGAAACTCTTGTGATAAACTGATAAGTCCATCCCCTAGCTGCACTTTTTATTAAACTCTCAGTGCTTCCAGACAGAAAACAGCTGATTTTCTTCAGAGACACACAGAACACCTGTTCTACAGCCTGTGACAACACACAGCTTAGGCTACGTTTCAGGTACATATATATACAGACCTTTTGAGGTCAGCTGTCTTGTTACTGGGGGCTGTTTCTGTGGTAATCACAGCAGCTGGAAGAGCACCAGCTTTCTTGTCATCCTCCTCGCTGTCGGATCCTCCAGAGGAGCTGCTGTCTGAGGCCATAAGTGGAGCCTTCTTCCCTTCTTCCACTGGAGAAGGATCAGAAGAGGCACTAGCATCTGRTAACAGAAACAAACAACAAATATAAAAACACAGATTGACTTAATCATGGTAAATTAACAATTTTTTATTCTAATAACTCAAATCAGAAATGTGTGTTAAGTGATTTTGGAAATTGCTCACCACTCTTCTCAGGGTTTTGTTTGGCTTGTTTTTCTGCATCAGTGCTGTCCTCTGGAGAGCTGCAGCGGGGTTCAGCCTCAGTACTGACAAAGAAGAAAACAGTTTCACATTTCTTTTTATGAACAACTACTGTTCTTGTCCATTTCAGAACAATGAGGTCTAACTGTCATTTCATTTCCACCATATTTAGTCAGTGCTAAGCTAACTGAAAACTGAAACTTTCCACTCAAAACAAACATGTTTAAAAAAAAAACTCTTCAAAACTTAAATGCTGTTTGAAATAATACCTCTAAAACACGTGCTCRTCTTGTAGCACATGATCAAAGAAAAATCTGAAATCAAATATAAACCATTCTGAATGCAAATGTAAAATTTTTCTTTTATTTTGAAGGTGAATGGGTGTTTACGTCAGCAGCCTCCTGTGAGGGCGCTGCACAGAGAAGACTAGAAATGATTTAGCAAGTAACTAAAAACAAAGGAGGACCACCAGAGCTGCTTCAGAGAAGGAGAACCTCAGTTTGGCCAGTTAGCTTTCAAGTTAGCACCTTTTTCAGTGGTAGAATAGAATAGAACAGAACAGAACAGAACAGAACAGAACAGAACAGAACAGAACAGAACAGAACA